CAATTTATTTCCGAGTGAACTTCTACAAAGTTTAATTTGAGTTCGAAGCGAACTTGGTTTAAAATGGAAGTGAATTTCAGAACCTACTTGAAGCCTTTTCAAACCCATTTCGATTGATATCCATCTTTTAAAAAATCATTTAACTTATTAAATAATTTTAAAGCAGCTTATAAAATACGTGGTAACCCACCGACATATATTTCAGAAATAAAGCCTTTTTAAAATCATCTCGATGATACGCATCTTGGTAAACCCGTGGCAACCCTCTTCAAACATTCTAAATGTTCAACCACAAATTTTCTTAACACTGTTTCGCTTCATATTTCAAATAACTTGCGTAAAAGGTTATTAAATGCGACATTCGAATTCGATTTAAATAGGTGACAATCCTTTTCAAAAGTAGTTTTACCGCGTTCTTAAATACGCTTCGCCTGACATTGCGATACATATTCAGCCTCATTGCGTAAGTCGTAAANCGCGGTAAGTCATTCTTAAATACGCTTCGCCTGACATTGCGATACATATTCAGCCTCATTGCGTAAGTCGTAAATTAGGCTGAATTGTACGACTCGACAACATTAGCATTGTCTACTGTCGTGCTGAAATAAGTAAACGACGAAAATTGTCGAAAACTATGCAGTGCTGCCAAGTTCTTCCGTTTTAATACACTAGTCGAGTGGAAATTTTAGGCAATGACGCTAAATTTTCGACACGATTCGACTATCGAAAAACGACTTGCATTCGGCACGACTCTCGCAATGAGGCTGATTCTAATTAACTGCTGAACAAAATTGAATTTTATTGTTAAACATGTGGCAGCCTCGCTAATATAATTCAGAAATAAAGATTTTTCAAGCCCCATTCGATTGATAGGTACATGTGAATACATTTATAATAATAATAATAATTTGAATTTAATTTATAAACAAGTGGCAACCCTCTTTCAACACCAAAAAAAATATTCCTAGTGTTCAAACAAAATACTTCTTAACACTCTTTTGTTTGACATCCATATTTTGACATTTCATATAACTTCCTTAATAAGTTAACTAAATCCGACATTTCAAGCAGATTGCTACCCTTTTCAAAAAATTTTCAAACTACTACCTTCTGAAGCCTCTTTCNCATTTTAACTAATAATTTGAATTTAATTTATAAACAAGTGGCAACCCTCTTTCAACACCAAAAAAAATATTCCTAGTGTTCAAACAAAGTACTTCTTAACACTCTTTTGTTTGACATCCATATTTTGACATTTCATATAACTTCTTAATAAGTTAACTAAATCCGACATTTCAAGCAGATGGCTACCCTTTTCAAAAAATTTTCAAACTACTACCTTCTGAAGCCTCTTTCGTTTGGCACCCGTATGTTGAAACATATTTCTCCTAATTCCCTTAATTCAAATTGAATTTGATATTCTAAAGAGGTGGCAACCCTCCTAAAGTTAAATTAAGAAACAAAGATTTTCAAACCCATTTCCCCTGATACCCTTTTTGCAATAATAGATTTTTTTTTTAATAATTTGATTTCTGATTACGAATCTGAAGTCAGATCAGATTCTTTCCAACAACTTTACCGTCATAAATGGTCGATCCAATATAGATCTGCGATTTGAATTTTTTTAAAGCAAATACATAATTACTAAACGGTATATGTATAACGTCTGAATTTTATAGTTTAATTACAGAAATATTAAATAAACACTTGATTTTTTAATATAAATTATGTTTTTATGATTTACTATAAACCTGAAAAGTCCTGAAATGTCAAGTTTTCGTGACTTAACAATCTGAAATGTGCTACACTCGGAAGCAAATAGTGAAACGTGCTAGTAATTTGAGATATGCTACATCGTCGTATGGAGCGACGATATGTAAGACACTATAGTTATACATACACCATAAACGTATATACATACATACATACATATATATTTAGATATGTAGTTATTATACCTGATACATGTAAATACAGTGGGAGAACAGTAATTAAATCGATTCCGCAAATTATTACTCATGTGAGATCTTATGCACATTACGCATTTTTGCAACACTACTTAGACCTATAAAAGGGGCATTTTTTCATTTTCCAACGCATATTGGTTTCTTTTTTGCTTCAAAACGTTGAACGCTGCTGAATAGTCAAACTAAAAAAAACAAAAAACTTAAAAACCAAAATGGGTTATGCTATTGAATTGTTTAACTGGAATTATGCCATTTATAACTACATGGGCTTTTTAGATAAAACCAAACGTCTGCGCGCTTTCTTTTTCATCTCCGTACCGGCTATAATGATTTTGCCATCAACTTATGGTATCTACTATAATTGGGGCAACTTAGGCCAGACGATTTACAATTCTTTTCTCCTCTTGACGTTGACTATAACAGTGGTGCGTGCTATTGCCGTCGTAGCTAAACAAAAAAAATTTTTGGATATCTATAAAACGATTGAAGATTGGTACTATGACCTGAAGGTGAGTTGACTTTTTCTAACGCCTATTTTAGTGAAAATCTAAAACAGATACATATCGATGGCTGAGTGTAAGATCGATCTATCTCGGGGTAGCCAGTTCGAAAACTCCCTATCTCCAGACAATTTTTCAACGACGTCTTATTTTAGAATTTGATTGAAAAACGCTCCATCTCAGAATTCGGTTCAAAAACGCTGTATCTCAGCTGCCGATTAAAGAACGGCCTATCGCAGCATATTTTCAATATATCTTCGTTTGAGATAGGGCACTTTTGAAACGAATTCTGAGATAGGGTTTTCTGCAACCAAATTGTGAAGTAGGGCCGTTCTTGAAAAGTTTTCTGAGATAGGGCGTTTTCGAACTGGCTGCCGAGATAAGTCGTTCTTCCACTCAGCCATCGATATGTTGTTGAAAGTATGTACATACATAAGTGCTATACTGTCAATATAAGTAGATTGTATGTATGTATGTATGTACATTCATNTGTTGAAAGTATGTACATACATAAGTACTATACTGTCAATATAAGTAGATTGTATGTATGTATGTATGTACATTCATNGCTTAGACCTATAAAAGGGGAATTTTTTTCATTTTCCAACGCATATTGGTTTCTTTTTTGCTTCAAAACGTTGAACGCTGCTGAATAGTCAAACTAAAAAAAACAAAAAACTTAAAAACCAAAATGGGTTATGCTATTGAATTGTTTAACTGGAATTATGCCATTTATAACTACATGGGCTTTTTAGATAAAACCAAACGTCTGCGCGCTTTCTTTTTCATCTCCGTACCGGCTATAATGATTTTGCCATCAACTTATGGTATCTACTATAATTGGGGCAACTTAGGCCAGACGATTTACAATTCTTTTCTCCTCTTGACGTTGACTATAACAGTGGTGCGTGCTATTGCCGTCGTAGCTAAACAAAAAAAATTTTTGGATATCTATAAAACGATTGAAGATTGGTACTATGACCTGAAGGTGAGTTGACTTTTTCTAACGCCTATTTTAGTGAAAATCTAAAACAGATACATATCGATGGCTGAGTGTAAGATCGATCTATCTCGGGGTAGCCAGTTCGAAAACTCCCTATCTCCAGACAATTTTTCAACGACGTCTTATTTTAGAATTTGATTGAAAAACGCTCCATCTCAGAATTCGGTTCAAAAACGCTGTATCTCAGCTGCCGATTAAAGAACGGCCTATCGCAGCATATTTTCAATATATCTTCGTTTGAGATAGGGCACTTTTGAAACGAATTCTGAGATAGGGTTTTCTGCAACCAAATTGTGAAGTAGGGCCGTTCTTGAAAAGTTTTCTGAGATAGGGCGTTTTCGAACTGGCTGCCGAGATAAGTCGTTCTTCCACTCAGCCATCGATATGTTGTTGAAAGTATGTACATACATAAGTGCTATACTGTCAATATAAGTAGATTGTATGTATGTATGTATGTACATTCATCATCGAAAAGGTTGAAGTCAATTGAGCCGTTTGTTTTGAAAGTGAATGTAAATTTCTACCGCCATAAACTAATGGCAAAACTTTTTTCCTTTGGCTGTTGAAGTTAAACGAATAACAGGTGGGTTCAGATGCAGGTATGTAAATGAGCCACTTTCAATATAAACGCTCAATTATGTATTTAAAACGAACGCCTTCCAAAAAAAGATTTCACTTCTCGAAATTGTAAAAAAGAATTTAATGCAAAAGTTATTTATACAAGTTTGCCTTCATCCGTTTTTCGCATCATTTTGATGAGTTTTGTAACCTAAGAGCTGTGTTCGTAGGAATAATAATAGTTTGTACTGATTTTGTGGCTCGAGAAATATTTATATGAAGTAACTCCAAAAACCGCCAAATTGCTGCAACAAAAAAATTACATTAAGTTAATCGGCCGTCAAATTAATGAACATTTAGGGAAGTCAAAGGCAAAACCTGTGTATATATTAGTCATGCATAGAACCGAGGAACCGGAACCGCGACCTTTGGAGAACCGACCGGTTCGGTTCTTACAAGAACCGAAATTCCAAAAGGCCCGCAAAACGGTTCCAGAAGAACCGAAACGCGATTCCCAAAAAAAAAAAACGAGAAACGGTTCCGGAAGAACCGAAAAATATTGACAGAGAAGCCGAAAAAATAAGTCCAAAAAACTTAAAACCCATTTCAAAAGAATCGAAAATAGTTCCCGTAAAACCGAAAACCGTCCCCGAGGCTCTCATTGGCAAACAATTTATCAAGGTACTGTATTATATAGCGGTCATATACTGGATCCGGTCGACTACATCAACTTCGTTGTTTTTGTTGCTATTGACTAAGTATTACGGAGTTCTAAATTGACATACAACATTTTTTTCTTTGAATTTAGTATTATGCTAGTTTTATTCAAATCGCAGCCCCTTAAAAAGCCTTAAGATCGGACAAAGATTTCAAACAATTTCTTTAATGTATAATTTATCTATGCGCAATCGATTTAAAATTTTTCAAAATCAGATGCTTAAAATATATTTTTGCTAACTTTATTTTCCCATCCAACTGATATACTTACAATATTTTGACAGCACGACGATGATGAACAGGCCGTGGAAAACCTGCAGGAATTTACTAGAAAAGTACGCCTTTACTCTAAGTACGCTTTGCGTTGTCTGGTGATCATTTCAACTTTCGTTTGCGTCCAACCAATTCTCGCAAATTATGGCGGTGAGTTAAGCATTTAAAAATTAATTTCATATTCATACAATAATAAAATAGAATGCATCACAATCTCTTATCTAAAAGACTACATTAATGACATTGCTTTACCAATGATCGATCTGCATAAGAGCCCCATTTACGAAATTTGCTATCTGCTAGAAGCACTTTGGATGATTCCAGTAGGCGTTTGTTCATATAATGCGTATGTAAATTCATTTTTGATCTCCATGTCGTTTGGTACTTCCATGATGAAAGATCTTCAACAGAAATTGGAAAATTTATCCGAAATGGATGATGTAGATGCCTTAAGGAATATCAAGGAATGCATTAAACGTCATATAAAAATCATCATGTGAGTAGTGGCGATTATCCTTATTTATGATAGTTTAATGCTCCGGATATTACACATGCAACTGTTTTAAGTAAATTTAAGATTATTTTTTAAAGTGAGTAACAGCACTCACCTTGAAGATATGTATGTATGTTGACAATATTTATTGCCCAAAATATGAGTCAGGAGCTAAAAAAAAAAGTGATCATCTTAAAAACAACTAATTTAAAAAGAATTATATGCAACTTTTAAACTTGGTTTTTGATTTTTATTTATTTTTTTTTTAATTGACCCGCCTTAATAAACTTAATATAATTTGTTTCTTTAAGGTTTCGTGATGACTTGGAAGAGCTCTATTCGGCCATGTCCTTGATTGATGTTATGTTATACTGCATAGTACTAGCAACGATGCTTGTATATTCATCTATGGTGAGAAAAACAAAAATAAATAATAATGGCCTTATTCATAAAAAATAAAATAGGTTTAGAAAGCTTTATAAATTAACGTTTTCATACATTTTTCAAATTACAAACCTTTTGCCAAGCTACTTTATTTTTAGTGAATAAGGCCATAACACTGTAGGGACGCTATAATTACAAAAAAGTAAGTGCGCTTGAGCCACACTGGAGAAGTGAAACTTACAACAAAATCTATAACATTGGTAGCAAAATCGATCGATAAAGGTATCGATCAAAACAACGATAGCAAAAACGATAAAACTATCCATAACAAAATCGATAAATATGTCAATAACAAAATCGATCAATAATCGATAACTAAGTCGATGAATAATCGATAGCAAAATCCATAAATAATCGATAACAAGACCGATAAAAATATCGATTATTATATCGATAAGTCCCGGGAATCCCGAAAATCTCTAAAATCCCAAAATGGCTCCCAGACTGAGTCTCTGTGTCTCTATCTATGTATATCCTTTTCTCCAAAACTACTTTTTTTTAATCTTTCTTCCTCTATCTTCATCTCAACTTTTATCGGTATCCTCAACCTCATCTATTCTTTATATTTATCTTAATTTTTACTTTTATCATTTTCTTCATCTACATATTCCCTTTCAAAATTACCTAGGTCTTCATTTATGCCTTTGTCTTTACGCATCTTTGGTTCTGTTTGGTTCTACCCCACGTGTGAAAGGAATACTCAAATAGGCCGATAAATGTCGCTACACCCAGAGAAACTAGTACAGAAACCGAGTAGATAATTTCAGGAGTTACAAGCCTTTCCGAAAGGCTTTCCTGAGAGTCAAGAGGCCGTCCACTCTACATTCCTTTCTCCTTTCTAGTTTGTATGGAGCGGCATAAATTGTAAGGCTTCATCTTTCGCTACCCATGGGAGGCCTACCAGAAGGGCTCTTATGTCCTATAAGGAGAAGAAGGCCTTTTGGAAGGGTTCTTTTAAAGTTGCTTCTTTAACTTATAAAAATCAAACATCTTTGAAGTATTTACTTAAGGCTTATATCAAATATGTGTTATTGCAACTTAAAACGTTGCATTGTAATAATGAAATTAGGCAATCTTTTAAGCTTCGCGGGATAAAATGAAAATGAATTTGTAAATTATTGTATGTACGTGACTCGCGAAACTGTTCACGGATTGAAATTTTTTTTTAATATTCACAACGTTTTTCAAGTTAATTTTTTTATAAACATTTTTTTCTAAGCGTTAGCCGATACCATATAAAACAGAGCTACAAACTTTATACAAAATTTAGGAAAATTCATCAAATTTTCATCAAAACTACGAGGTTTTTAAATTAAATCTTTGCAAAATTTTTGTGTATGCAGTTTTATAGTACATGCATGAAGTGCAAGTTTCAAGCGGCTAAAAAATTTTGTTGATTTTTAATATTTTTTTTTATGGCAACTGTTTTGGGGTTTTTATAGAACCAGAGCAATTAAAAAAAAAAATGGTTTTGATTTTTTGAAACGTTGCGAACGGTCTCACGCATTTCATTTCACAAGAAATTCATGCTTATATGGAAGAAAGCGCAAAAATCCGCCGAAAAAAAAACATATCAAAACTCAACGCGATTCTTTAGACGCTTGAAACTTGTACTTCATGGGACTAAAATTGTATGGGCTATAAAACTGCATACCCAAAATTTTATAAAGATTCGGATTAAAAAAATTAAAATTTTTAAAAAAAATGTTGATGAATTTTTCTAAATACATATATGGTTTTGAATAAAGCTTGGACAATATTTTTATAGAAAAATAATAATTAAATTTTACTTAAAAAACGTGGTGAATATTTAAAAATTAACACGTGAACGTGTGAGTCACTGTAAGTATAAAAAAAAAAATTTATTTGTTTCTATAGAAACAAGTCTTCATTGATCTTTTGAATTTTGTTATCATTTTTGTGGTAATCGGGCGCACGGTCCTAGTATAAATTGGACCTTGATTCGACTGGATTAGGAGATTTTAATCCTCGACAAAATATTTAAGCTCTGTGCCTTCGATCAATGTTCCGCCTATACTGATCTTCTCATGAACGGCACAAGAACTGCTTTTTTATGGATTTATGCTGAAGCCCTGGAATATTGCAGGCTGTTCTTTATTGTAAATGTGGACCGCTTAGAATAAATAAAAAATCCCTCCCAGAAAAAATAAAAAAAATAAAAATTGTCCCTACTGCACAAACTGCAAAACCTACAGTGTACCACAGAAGTCTAGGCACAGAATTGTAGACAATATATGCAAAGTCTTTTATGTTAATTTTTTCGCAAATTTTTTATACAAATATAGCTTGTACATACAACAAAAAAAAAAAACATACAAGTAGAATCTATAAGTACAAATCTCAGAATAATCGAAAAAATTTAATTGAACATTTTCGGCTTTCTAGTAAGATTTTTATGTGCCGGTAAATTTTGGTATGATAAAGTGCATGTTTGGAGTTGCTAAAAAATCCGGATGGTTTTTGATAATTTCACTTTCTTTCATATAAACATAAGTGCTTTGTGTGGAAGAAACTGCGTGACACTGTCGACAAAAAAATAAACAACGGGATTTTTTAGCAACTTGAATCTGGCACTTTATTAACTATCAGTTCGTCGGAATATTTTTTTTATTATACTTAAATTTAATATACTATAAAACTGCATAAACAAAATTTTCCTAAAAAATCTGATTACAAAATTGAAAATTTTGTGTAAATATTTATTGAATTTTTCTGAGCTTTGCAAAAAGTTTAGAAATTAAATGTATGTGTTTTTTGCTGTAGTTATTTTTATAACAAAATTAGCGAAAAAAATTTGTATGAAAAATTTGCATGCATTATGAAAAATTATATGCCTAAACTTCTGTGGGTGAGTGTATGCATAAAATTGTATAGCCTCAACTTTTATTTACTTACTTAATGGAATGTAGTTAATTATGTAGAAAATTTTAAACCTTTCTCTCGCATTTTTTTAGGACTATGATAGTGCACTCGTTTTTAAAGGTCTACAATTGTTGCTCGTTCAAACATCGTTGATGTACCTAATCTTTCAGTAGTTTAGTAACGCTTTCTCGAACGAGGTAAATGGAAATACTTTTAAAATGCTTATCTTTGCAAAAATTTTGAAATTTCAAATTCATTCTCTACACAACATATTGGCATTTAAAGAGTTTAAATATAGCCAACGCAGCATATAATACCAATTGGATGCAACGCAGCACAGAGTTTCGCAAATGCATTGTGCTGATAATAGCCAGAAGTCAAAGGCCCTTGCAGGTAGTAGTTTAACATAATTTTTTATATTTACATTATGTATCTACAAAAGTTTCTCTAATTTCTAGCTTACGGCTGGTGGCTTAAAACCATTGACTTTGGAGTATTTTATCGGAATAATGCGCGCCTCATATTCGCTATTCTCGGTACTACAGGGCACAATGTGAGTTGCATATGTACATACATATGTATGTATGTACATCATCGTAATTAAAAATAACAGCGATGATTACCGAGAACGTTGCAATTGTGGGAGGCGCGACATGCATACTGAATGACTAGGACTCGGAATCTCATGCAAATGCATGTTTTTATTGGCCATCCTTAAATGGAAATTGTTAAATTATCTTTACGAATCATGAAATTTCCTTTAAAATGGCATTCAAATGTTAGTGCATATTTTTGCATATTTCTTGCGCACGTCTTAGTATATTTTACAATAAATGCATATAGTTTTTCATGTTTCTCGTTTTTTTTTTTTTTTTTTTGAATTACAACCATTTAAATTTAGTGCAAAATCTCTACCTGCGAATCTTCTACCTCTGATAGATCTCAACTAGTGGAAGACTGTAGGAGAGATCTGGTCTATATCTCCGATCAAAACGCCCGAAAATGTAGGGGAAAGTCAGGCTACCGAAGATTTCAAGAACAGGGCGTACAAACACGCCGACATTGACCAGTCCAGAACATACTTACACATGGATTATTAGTGCTAAAGCCCTGTATGCAGCTCTCAAGAAAACGGTCAAGAAAAAATTGCCATTATTTCGCGTGTGTCCAAGGAATTTTGACATTTTTGATACCTCACAGCCTGTTGCCTCACTCTTTCCTCAAGAAATAATGGAACGGGCATATATTTCTGTTGCAAACCTGGGTTGCCTTGTGCTCTTTTTTCACAAAAAACTTTAGAAACCCGTAGTAGAAAGCGTAGTAAATTTCTTAAGAACTGCGTACTGCCTGAAGGAAATTTGACTCAAGAAAATTTCTTAGCCATTTCTTGTACGTCATTTTATATGGAGTTTTTGCTTTTCTTGAGAGCTGCATACAGGCCTTTAATGGTAACAGCACTCAAACAAGCGAAGGTCGTGAACCCGAGCCCGCAGTCGAAGACGACGGAATCGGCATCGGCATCACGCCACTCGATTATGATGAGATACGCCTAGTAAATTTCAGGGCAGAAAAACAATAAAGCTACTGGAACGGATGACCTGCCACCTGAGCTATTGAAATATGGCGTTCAGTGGGCCGAAACCAAATCTTGTGTCAAAATAAAATATCTGCTCTTGAAATTTACTGTTTTGGGTACATTTTATGAACTGAGGGTAAATATATGTATATATTTCAAGCCAAAATTATGTTAAAAAGATTTAAACCAAATGTTCATATTTCCAGTAAGTATGAGTAAAATTCTAAAAAAAAAANGAAACCAAATGTTCATTTTCATATTTCCAGTAAGTATGAGTAAAATTCTAAAAAAAAATATTAATTTTTAACCTTAACCTTAATCTTAACCTCAACCTTTACTTTAACGTTAACCCTAACCGTGCTCCCTTATTTTCATTTTGACGCAGTTCAATGTTGATTCTTTTACTTTTATTTTATTTTTCTTTTTATTTTCGTTCAATTTAATTTCTATAATTTTTCAAAACAAAAGAAAAAACGTTTTAAATGAAGTGAGAAATAAAAAATTTTGAATTTATTTACTAAGCAAATTTTTTTTATGGAGTTTTTGCTTTTCATCAGTCCTCTGCAAGAAAATTTGTTTAAAAAATACGTGTATGCACATAANATTTTTTTTTTCGGCTTTTGCAAATTAAATCAGTCCTCTGCAAGAAAATTTGTTTAAAAAATACGTGTATGCACATAAGGGTGGTCCAAAATAAGTAAAAAAAGTAAGTCCAAAATAGTAAAAGTTTGAAAACAAAAAATATTTAGAGGTCGCTCAAAGCGCTCCAACTTTTCCATGTATTTTGTATGGAAAAAAACAACTTTTAGTCGAAATGGTATGGAATTCTTGAAAATCAATATTTTTCGATCGGTTCTCTCCAGGAGACTTCCAATAACAATATCCAATTATTTATTTAACCATTATGAAGATTTTTTATTTATCCCTCCCATTGCATTTTCTGGCATTTTCAAGGGGTTTTTGCGGTCCTATTAAATATAGTTACTAAGAAAAAATTGTTAAAAAAAAAAATTGGGTTTTATTATTGAGAATCTGTTGAAGAGAAGCAGAGTCCTCCGATCGAAAAATATTAATTTTCAAGAATTCCATACCATTTCCACGAAAAGTTATTTTTTCCCCATACAAAATATATGGAAAACTTTGAGCGCTTTGAGCGACCTCTAAATATTTTTTGATTTCAAAATAAAAAATAGGGGTATATTTTTTTCGATATAGAACAATCCTAGGGGGTGAAAGCATAAAAATTCCGTCTTTACTTTTTTTACATGCATTTTTGGACCACCCTAATGTACATATATGGTATATGCGTCATGGAAATATCCCCTTTTCCCTAGCAGTAAACCTTTTTGTGTGGGCAACAATGACGTTATTCAAATAAGGCAGATCGGAATATGCGCTGTCTGCGAAGGCAATAGTTGTATTTTCGTATTCTCCAGCAAAAAATATCCAGAAACTTGCCAGTAACCAAACTTTGGAGAGTAAGCCAATATTTACTCCCAATGATGGAAATATGCAAGAAAGTACGAAAACGCAAAACCAGCAAGCAGTTGCAAGTTTTATGAACAGCTGATTAATTTGTTATTTTCCGACGCAATTTTCTAAGAAAAATAGTATTTCCCATCTTATTATATACAATACAATACAATTCAAACAATTATTTTGGTAATGTGAGTTGCAGTTGTGACGTAGCGGTGGTAGAAATCGATAAAGTGGTTACCGAGATACACCTTTGTAGTCATAAAGTTGGTGGTGCCACGACCAATTCCTAAAGAGTCTTATTTATTGTTAAGAAATTGTTTTAAGTATGAACTTGGAGTACATTAGCGTCCTCAGTTATTGAAATATCGGAGTTTTCGTATTTCTGAAATTTACCGTTATACGGGAAGCGGGTGTAATTTTAGTTCGATTTTAATAATTTTTAACGAGTTGCTTTTCCGTATCAAGGTTATTAAGTGTACCGAGTTTGGTAGAAATTGATAAATCGGTTACCGAGATACACATATGTGGTCATAAGGGGGCGGTGCCACGCCCACTATCCAAAAATTTAATATAATTTAATTTTCTACTAAGTGGTTATTGCACTAATCGAATTTAAGGGATATAGCTTCGTGTCTCTGTAAATTACCGTTATATGGCAGGTGGGCGTGGTTATTGCGCGATTTCAAAGATTTTTAACAGATTTCTTAGCTAGCCCCTAGGCAAAGCTCGTACCGAGTTTGGTAAGAACTGGTGAAGGGGCCACTGAGATACAGCATTTCATCATAAGTGAGCGGAGCCATGCCCATTTTCCAAACATTTCAAATAATATTTTGTAAAAAAAATTCTACTTCACGTACTAATTTTCAACAATCTGTCTGGTCAGGATTTTTTCAGCCAACCCAGTCGCAAAACATTTATTAACACGTTAAGTTTCATACAACATAGATTTCATCCATTAAACAGATGGCTGAAGGTCGTGCCCTTTTCTTAGACTATATGTATGTACGTAAAAATGATATTTACATATATTTTATGACATACTCACACGTATCCAAAATTTGTATGAAAACGTTTACAGTTATTTGTTTACTCCAGAAATTTTATTTAAAACCCAAAATAAAAGGACATTAATATTATAAGTTGGTACTTATCTAGTATGTACTTACTTATAATTAAACACAGTTTGCTTATACAGCCAAAATTAATCGAAATTTTGTTCTTTCATTGTACACATCTATTTTTGTATGTATCTAAATAAATTGTTTGTAATAGCTCACAGAAAAAGTGTACGTGTAAGTTCTTTTCTTTTTAAATATCTAAGTAAAATTATAAAATATTTAAACGAAGCAATAATTTTAAGGGGAGTTCCGTATTAAAATTTCAATAATTACTTGTAAATATTATATGGGAGTACATTTTATACGTAAATGCGTACGCAAGGAATGTGTTCGGTGGCAAACATATTTAAAGCAATATCTTAAAAATTCATAATTTAATTGCATCTTTAGGACAGCATTAACTTGAAAACGCATTTTAGTTTTATCGTTTAAAATTTTATCATTTATGGCATTTTGCATTAACAGCGGCGATATGTTATTAAATATGTGGAAATGTATGTGCATATGTATGTGTGTGAAGTTATCTGTCAATTAATTACATATTTGAAATGCTTAAACTGTATTTTAGTTTCTTTATAAAGGGAGAAAGTAGTTGAAAGATTTTTTTATTCTAAATATTTAGACCGGACAAAAAAGACGGAGCAAGAGATAGTACTTTAACGTGTAATAAGCTATCATTAATGAAAGCGAACAACACTAATACTATGTATACATTATAATATTAATCTATGTCATAGAAAAACATACATAGAACTGTACATAAGTACATATATATTTCCTTGGAATAATTCAGTTTTGTATATAAATATGCATGTATGTATCGTTGTTTAAGGAACAAAACCGCGTATCATGGTTCTGCAAAACCACGTAATTGACATTTGGTCCAGAAATTGGCATCAAGCCTTATCCATTCGTACCAAAATATCGATTTATAAAACTATCCTGAAATGGCATTGCTTTAAAAAAGAGCGAACCATTCTGAAATAGACAGTTTTGGCTTTCTATGGTAAAATTTGGCTAACCTCGGATACACAGTTTGGTACTTCAAACGACGATATCTACCTTGATAGAATCAAAACTGTAATTTCAACTGCACTAATGTGAATTTATTTTCCAAATTGTTTTTTTTTATACATTTGTAAGTATGTATGTACATATTTGTGTATTGTGGAGAACAGTGTATAAAGTAAGCCTTAGTTATGGAATTAAAATATTTTCTAAATTAAATAAGTTCCATTGTAAAAAAAAAATTTCAAAAATTATACATATGTATAAGTATGTAGATATATAAATTGTTGCGCTTTATGTTTTGTTCAATCTCGTTCACTTTTGTAATATTAACTTCCATTCCTCTTGATAATATTCACTTCTAAGTACTAAAAACAAAGTAAAATTTTTTTTTTTTAATATATTTTAAAGCAAAATTTTTTCGTCTTCTATCCTCAATACATTTTGCACTTATAAAATTTGATCAAAAGAAGTAAGAAGAAGTGAAAATGAAATTCCTCTAAAAAAAAGATATATAGAAATAGGTTAACGTGGTGCAGAGTTATGCGGCAACATACATAAAAAAATATTCCGTCGAATTGATAACCTGCTCATTTTATTGAAGTTGATTAAAATAGCAATAACCAAACCATATGTCCACTGGTGGCCCGATAGTTAGAAATGATTTTCTTTTACAAGTTTTGACCATCTATTTTTATTTATTAGTTTAATTTTTTTTAGGAAATTATAGTGCTTGCTACCACGAAAATCATACAACTCAAAGTTTTAAACTTTGTACAAGATTTTTAATAATTCGACGAAGTTCAAAAAATGGTCATCAAAATTTCAAAGTTTGTAATTGGAGCTTCAAGTAAAATTCGGAGATGCAGTTTTATAGCCCATTCAATTTTAGTTTAATATGTGCAAGTTTGAATTACCTCGAAAACATGGTTGATTTTTGAGAATTTTTTTCGCTGACAAAGTAAATCAGATATTTTTTTGTATGAGAGAAAATCAGGAACACCGCTAACATTCCAATTAGAAAGTTTGAAATTTGTATATATGTGCATATGTATACCTTTTTTGTGCTTCGTCAAAACCATTTGACCATGGAATAAAAAAATGCGTCACTCTAAAGTTTTTCATAAAAACTTTGACCAAGCTTGCTAAGATTTCACTCAAATTATGCCTTTTTTTTAACAAAAAATAAAAAACAATAATATGAAAAATGGTAACGAACAGTACACCATCACCGTGACCACAGTTGTGAAATTTTGATAATACTCGATTTGTATGTTGGTTTTTTGTAAATGCATACGTAATCCTATATATGAGATATTTGCGAAAATTTATTCAACGCTCGATTTTATACCTTTGCTATAGAAAAATGATATTAACTGCTTGCAATTAAATATAAATTTCTGTTTGAATTTTTATTTCGACACTTTTCTATGATATCTAGCTTTATATGTATTAGGGTGACCGAATGTCATATCGTCCGTCTTTAACTGACTACTGGTTTTCGGTCCCTGAAGAGCTGCACACTACGAATCATCAAAATTTATCTGAAAATTTTCGACTTGGGTTTCGAAATCGCTTTTTCAAACTATCCATAAATGTATATATTACGTAGTTTTGTATAGTTGTATAAAGCCGCGAAGCGAATGAGTCACGAGTAGTTTGTAATAAAGAGATTACGGCTTTAGAAACTAATACTTCCTGTTGAGAATGAGACAATTAACAGCTTGTTTAGACAATCATAAAAAAGTGCAGTTACGATATATCCATTGTATACTTTCTAATGAATTCACGAACTAAAATTACCAAAACATTAATTAAGAATTGTTTATATTACTAACTACAGTTCACCAAATGTAAAAATGGAAAAATAAATCTTAAACATATATTGATCATTAAACTAAGTAGTATAATACTTATATAATAACGGCTTACAGTAAATACAACTACTGGAATGGTATATTGGAACGAATAGTGATGTATGTAAACATACATACATTCCCATGAGATTTAGACATTTTATCAATCAACAAAATTTTATCAAAAATTAGCAAACACATTTTTTTACGGAATTTTTCATGTACAACTTATCTATTACAAATCTATTCAGTGCGTTTCGCTTTCTCGCCACGCAAATACTCGTATGTCGGCTGACCCAAAAAAGGTATAGTGACGTCGACCATATTAGGATAAACTAAAAACTTATTTACCACCTCGCATAATTTGCTTTCAATAATGCTGGTCACAATGCTGTAATCCACAGATTTTTCACCAAGCGCTGGCTTTGCTGATAGCCAAAGGCGTGGTGGACCACGAAAGCTGTGGGTGAATAGAAAAGCATAGGAATAAATAAATATTTGAGATAAGGAGCTTTTTTTCAAATAAATTTTGATTAAATCATAATGCAATTTTTTAAACAATCCTAGCACAAAATTTTTAAAATAAAATTTAAGTACTTACGAAAGCCATATACGATCGGAAGGTGGTGGTGGAATGTTTATCACGCCACGTCCGACTAGTCCTCTCAGATCTACGCGTAGCGTTATATTTGTATTCATATTCTCAATGGCACGCTGTACAACTGGCAAATCGGTGGCATACTGAAAGAAATTTGAGGCTGCTATGCGATCTACAATACGAAAAATGCGACGCGCATTTCCAGGCGCTGTGGGTATAAAATGGTAGCTGAAAAGAAATTCAAACGTGAATTAAATATTCTTCTGAATTTCATAGCAACATACTCTGCCTGCGCGCCTGCACCAACGTCCGCCTGTGTAGCAGCGCCAGTCGCCGTCATTGCCGAACTCACGTTCGGTAGTGTGGTCGCCGCTGATGCGCTGACACTCTCTGGATCGGAATCAGAATCACCCGTACTCTCCGCATCGCTGTCAAATATAACACTATGCGACACATCATCGGTGTTGGGCTCAGCCGAGGTTAGTCTAGTAGTTAAGCTTCTTCCAGTCTCTCCATCAGAAATCACATTAATGGGTGGTATTGCGGTGATATTAATGCCAGCGGCACCACCACCACCACCACCATTTGACGCACTGGTGTTGCCGCCGGTATGCAATGGATTGGTGGTGGTTATGTTGACTACATCTGTGGGACGCTTCTGCTGTTTTATGCGCATCAAATTCAATTTGGTGGTGACCGTCAACTGTAGCAATCCTTCATAGGTGATGTCGGCATCTACCCAAGTGCCGCGCTCATCCAGCATGGGTTGCGAGACACGATGTATTAGTGGCGGTGTATCGCCAAGATTTATTTTCGTAATAACGATATCTTCTATGAAAGAAGGCAACTGTGGACGATTTGAGTGAAAGCATAAAAATTGAGTTTTGAAAAATGTGAGCATACATAAATTTGGTATTGTGTGAGAAATAATTTATCTTAAAATATATTTAGAGAACCTTATAAGAAAAGTTTCAATAGCCATTTAGTTAAATTTAGAAAATTTATTCATGTGGTTCTCACCTTAATAGCGCTAATTTTTTTCTGCAGTAATTCTTTGATCTTAT